CCCGGGTGAGTGGGGGAGGGGAGGAGCGGGGGAGGGGGGGCTCAGACCCACTGGGGGCCTCACGCTCCCCTCCTGGCCCCTGTAACCCACCGTTTCTGGCAGCCCCCCTGCAGGAGCCATTCCAGGCTGGCTTTCCACACCACGCCCGGCACTGCTACATAGTGAGCACCACCCACAAGGCCTACGCCATCCATGCCCCCCAGCACCAGCTCTTCCTGCTCCTGGCATCACACGTGCCCACCTTCAGCCTGCGGTCCCTAGCCACCCGTGCCCTGCAGCACCTCATCGGGGACGCTACCTGCTGATGTGCTGGCCTGGCCCCTGGGTTCCACTGCGGTGCCACAACAGGGCCAGGAATGGATATCTGGGGGGCTACAGGGATTGTTGCAGGACTCTTGTACATACCAGAGAACAGCCAGACTGGGCCAGACCCATGGGCTGTGAGGGCCAGGGTCCTGGCTGCCCACACGAGCCAGCAGTGTGTGGCCCTAGTTCTGCTGTGAACCCTGGTGTAGACTTGGCCTGCACTGCATCCTGCAGCAGGGAGTTCCACACGTCAGGTGCAGAAATACATTCCTGTTTGTTTTAAACCTGCTGCCTGTTCATTCCATGGAGTGACCCCTGGGTCTTGTGAGGCGCAAACAGCTCTGCCTTATTGACTTTCACCACATCACAATCATATCCCCTATTTCAGCACATGTGCCTCAGTTTCCCCTATGCACGTGACTAACTAGAGGGGCACGGTGAGGTGTTTTCTTTGCAGAAGAATTCAAATAGCCAGCCGTTTGTTTCCTAGCAATTAACAGGGGTCCGCTGGGGAAACCAGCTCCTGTGGGGAGATCAAGGGGTCCTGCTTGCCCCCCAACCTCCACTGTCCAGAAACAAAAGATTGAGGGGGGAGCCTGCAAGGTGTGTGCACGGCTCCATGCTAGGCCCAGGGGGGTTACCCCTCAAAGAGCACGCTCACACAAGAGGGGCCTACCCAGCACCCACTAAAGAGCACGCTCACACAAGAGGGGCCTGCCCAGCACCCTCTCTGAGCCACTCCAGAGCACTGAGCCCACAACAGGTGGTGGCAGCGCTGGGATTGGTAGCAAGGCCGGCTAGAGAAGGATGATCACCCCAAGAGGCCAGCTCCAGTCCGCAGAGAGGCCAGCAGAAAGCCTGGGAGTGGGGGCAGGGCCTCCCCCAGCCCTGGTTTCCTGTCCAGGAGGGGCCTGAGACGGGCTGAGGTGACAGGAGCGTGTGTCCCAGCAGAAGCAGACGCGCGAGGGCCCAGAGAAAGCAGGGAAAGACCCCAAGCTGCAGGGAACCTGGACTCCACATGGCCCCAGCCCAGGAGGTTTTGGGGTGTATGGAAAAACTCCTGGGGCACAGGGACCCAAGACTGAAGGATTTCCCCCCACACCCTGCTGGGGAGAAGGCTGCTCCCTGTGTATCACCGGCCCCTGCTTCCTCCTCTGGCGGCATCTGGGTTCTGAGCCCCTGCCCCCCCCAGTCCGGAGGGCCCCCGTGTCCCCAGCCCCTGGGCCCCCAGGGGGCAGCAGCGCAGGAGGCGGCCCGGG